TGTGAGCGGTGTCAAGTGGCCAAAGATGTGCACCCAAAAGCACATAGCTTTATGTGGCATCTTTTGGCTTCCTGCCCTAATGAAATCCTTGCCATTGATTACACGACTCTAGAACCAGCCCAGAATGGTTTAGAGAATGTTTTGGTGCTTACAGATGTTTTTAGTAAGTACACTGTGGCTATCCCTACTCGGGATCAGCGTGCTGCTACTGTGGCCAGGGTTTTGGTGTCGGAGTGGTTTTATAAGTTTGGCGTCCCTGCTCGTTTGCATTCTGACCAGGGCCGTAACTTTGAAAGCACCCTCATTCAGCAGTTGTGTGACCTGTATGGGATTGTAAAATCACGCACTACCCCATACCATCCGGAAGGAAATGGTCAGTGCGAGCGTTTTAACCGGACGCTCCACAACTTGCTGCGTACCTTGCCAGTGTCCCGGAAAAGGGATTGGCATGTGTGTCTGCCTCAGGTGTTGTATTGTTATAACACAACTCCCCACCAGTCAACCGGAGAGTCACCCTTTTTCCTGATGTTCGGGCAGGAACCCAGACTGCCCATTGATTTCTTGTTGGGTCGAGTTGAGAGTCCTGTCGGTGGCTCTTTCCATGAGTGGGTTCAAGAGCACCAAGCCCGTTTGCATGTAGCATTTGAAGGAGCACGAGAGCGCTTGAAACATGCTGCTGATCGGCGGAAGCGAGTTCACGATCAGCATGTCAGAGATCTGCCATTGCAGGGAGGGCAGCTCGTGCATTTGCGTGACTTAAGTGCTAGGGGGCCCCAGAAGACCCGGGATCGGTGGAGTTCTGTGAAGTATCGTGTGTTGAGAATGCCTAAAGAAGGCGGCGCGGTGTATACTATTGCGCCAATGGACAATGAGACCAAAGTCAGACAGGTCCACCGCACTATGCTGAAGGCTGTTGTAATGGTGGACTCACCTGGTCATGCCTCTTCTCATAACTCGACCTCTGGGGAGGAATCACCCCCAGCAGTGGAGCCTTCATTTGAGTATGATTTGTTGATCTTAGACCAACCATCTTATGTGGCCACTTCTGCCATGCCCTCCACCAGATCAGCTGTGTCTCAAGTGCCTGCAGCAGCGTCGGGAGCATTAACATCTCCAGCCCTTCCATCTGTCACTTGTCCTGATTCCAGTAACATGGGCCCACGCCGGACCACACGTCAAACGGCTGGTCAGCATTCAAATGTGCATCATTTCCCACGGTCTGCTGGAGATGCTTGTGCTGCGAATCCTCCTGCTTCTGTGTCCAACTCAGTCTCTGCCTTGTTTAGACCTTGGAGTTAGCTTGTTGTGCCAGCCTTACTTTGTTGATCGTCTGGACGACGATCCAAGGAGGCAGGGTAGAATGTAGCAGCATAGAAATTGCGCCTGCTGACCACTAGGGCGGCAGTATATAAGTACGGCCCTCCTTCTCACGCGCTCACTAACGCATCATTTCCGGGTCAGGTGTTTGCCTGTGCAGGTAATGCTCCATGCCACTGCTGCGGCTACTGCTTTGTTTCACCTGTTACTGTGTCCTGTTGCTTAAAGCCTGCGTGTTTCCACTGCAGAGCAGCGTCCGAGTGCCCCGTGCTTTGTGCTCCATGCTCCGTTTAGACCCTGGTTCTCTCTAGCGGTGGTAAGTGTCCTCTTTCTCTGTGTTACACCGAATGCTATCCTGTAGCGAACGCTAGTGTGGTCACAGGTAGATGTCCACTGCCGTGTGGGTCTCTCTCTCTCTCTCTCTCTCCCTCTCTCTCCCTGTGAAGCTTTGACTTTGAATACAGGTATGCTACCTTAAATCTAACTCTCAAAAGCTTTGATTAATGTAGTTTAGCTATGCTAATTGTATGTTTATTGACAGGGAATGCTCGTCAGCTGGCCGAAATCTACAGGTGGTGACCTGTTCATCCCTTTTTATTTTAGCTGAACGATGGTGAGGAGTTAATCCCTTAGTTTTGTATTACTTGTTTTGTTATACTTTATTGTTTTGATTAAGTAACTTGCTTGTTAAGCTTATTTGGTTAACTATTTCCTGCTTTATGTTGTATATTTTTGGTACATTTTGTGTTAATTACTTCCATTGTACTTTTGTTTTCCCTTCTCAGTGGCTGCAGGCTGGTGGTGGTGCTGGTGACGTGGGTGGTGGTGTCCCTCCTTCTTGTGTGCTGTGCTTCCTTGGATTTGGTGATACCACAGTGTGTGACTGCCACGTGTGTCTGGGTGAACCCTTTTTCTTTAATATAATTTTGTTGAGTCCCCTTCCCCTTCACCTGCTCTTTCCCCACCAGTAGGCCTCAGCCCCTGATTAGGCTCCCCTTTTCATTTATTGGGATGAATGCTAATTTTTTTATAATGATATATATATATTAAATAAAGTATTTTTGTAAACTGGGAACCATGTGTCTTGCCTGTGGAATGGAACAAACCTGTGTTTTTGATCAGTGTAAAATAATTCCTTGGGTGCAATTCCCAAGGTGGCGTTGTCGTGCAACCTAAGATTCACATTGAGAGCTCCACATTTTGCAGCCCCCGCCACACACGCTAAGGGTGAAAGTTTACCAGGAGTTAGGGGTACCGCTTTCTGAAGGGAAACTTTAGTCCCTTCTACGCGTTTCGAATTTCGTAGCATAACCCTTGATAGTGTGCTCATGCAAGCATCTTTGCAACAAGACAAGCTGTCTCGCATCAGAACAGCCATCAAATCTGGTCTGCCACCCCCATTCTCTCTAGAAGAGTTTCTCTAACTTTGCTATGCGCATTCTCCCTCAAGGTCGTCCATATCACGTTGCTGGTTCTGGCTAAATCTGTTAAAATCTTAAGATACTGCGTCTTAGACTAAGGCTGTTACTCAGATATGCAGTTCTAGTCTTTGTTATGTGATAATTTATTTTAAAAATGACACTGCATGAATCTGCAGATTCCCCCTAGTTTTGACTGATGCAGCGCCTCTGTTGGTTTTGGGGGTTCTCATAATGAGTGGTTTGCAGACGACAGAAATTCAGTCCCTTAAAACCAGTTCTAAATTCACTGCTCTTTATGAACACTACCCAATTGTCGTTTGGGGCAGCAGATGGTCACAGAAGCATTATGGTGTTTTGTGAGCTGCTATAGTGGAAATAATTCACATTTTGTGCATTTATTGTTTTTTACTTGATTCTATCATCTTCAATGCAAAGTATCAAAGCTATGCTAGCAGGGATTCAGTTTCACATTCGATGTAAAGATCCAGCATCCCAGAGTCTTCTGGGAAATCCTCCACTCAGCTGCTCTTCAATGGCTTTAAAAGGCGCATCCTCAAGGCAACGTAAGACTCCTCACACAATTCACTGGTGCATTAATGGTTTTCACTTATATTAATGTAATGTTGGAAGAAGTTCTGTTAATAGCTTTTACGGGTTTCTCAGGTGTGAATATGCATGCAGATCTCATCTTAATCCTCAGCATGATCTTCCCTTCTCTGATTTAACCTTAGAAGATCACATCACATGTACTCAATATTCTTTAAGCACTCACAAACTGATAGATCTCACCAAGGCACTCAGATTTTATTGCTAAGACTAACACTAAATTTTGTCCTCTCTGTTGTGTTTGGTAGGACTTTGGACCAGGGTGCGGATTCAGATCACTCTAGGCAGGTTGAGGTCAAGGGTTTTATTCACAAAGAACTGAGTAGAAGTGGAACTGTGCTTGAAAAGGGCAGGTGGGAGCAGGGGCAGGCAGGTCCTGAACAGTGGCAACCAGCGCTCCAAAAGATCCTCCAGGCAACACAAAACACTCAGGAATCTTGGAAAGGAGAGAAAAAACACAAAGCTTTAGTTCTGGTCTTGACAGAGAAACTCACTCTAAAACTAACCAAAAACTCTAGAGACTAAATTGGCCTGAAGTACTCAACCATGGGTAAGGAATAATCTGGCGACGAGTCTCAGGAAACCCCACTTCTTAAGGCCAGGCACTGATGAGGATTGCCAGCAGGTGTGCGACTCCACCAGGTGATCAGCTCACTGCCAGGCATAACACACAAAGAACCACAGGAGAAACAAAAAAGTAGGAACACACCCCCAAGTGTCACAGCATCAACTGTGACACTCTCTCCTCTATGATGAAATCCCTGCATCATCGTTCCAACCCATTGGTTGGCTCCCTTGTTCATCGTCGTTGGTTGCAACCCAGGACGAGATCCCGGGTCTGCTTAAGATGTGTGACCTCTGCTGAGCTGCGGCTTAACGCGAACACTGTTCTTTCCCTACCTCCGATTGGTGCAGCTACGACCGCAGCTGTCATCTGCCTGCATCAACCAATCTACCAAGGCTGTGTCAGGCTCCACAAGAAGGAATTTTGATTGTGCAAAAACTCATGAGCTTCTGCTCCCCTTAATGCTTTTAAAATATTTATCTGCTGACACCCCAACTGGTCGAGGCAGACGACCACCCACCTAGAGCTGGGGTCTGTCCTAGGTTTCTGCCTCTTAAAAGGAAGTTTTTCCTTGCCCCCGTCGCCAAGTGCTTGCTCATGGTGGTACTGTTGGGTCTCTGTAAATGTTATAAGGTCTAGATATTCGGTCTAGACGTGCTCTATTTGAAAGTGCCATGAGATAACTTCTGTTATGAATTGACGCTATACAAATTGAATTGAATTAATCATATATTTGCATATCAGGTGGTTGCTGGGTTTAGAGTATCTATATCTTTGCTATATGTTCCTGCATAATGTTTGCTAAGTAGTATATTCCCTCATGGCTTGAGGTGCTCATAGGGAATAGCCACATGGCAAAACACACACATAGCAGTTCACTAGGTAGTGTATTCCGCTGGGGCCAAGGTGCTTCAGGGGAATGGCCACACGGCGGCCAAGGTGCCAAAAAACTAACAAACAAGATTTGTAGACCTTGACATCGCTGCAGCTCTTGAGTACTTCATTATAATGCTGTTATCAAAGAACTGCTGCTTCTGCGATTTGTATATTGTACTTGGCCATATTGCAATTTCAATAAGATTTAGATTATTTGTGCAGCCCTAGGTGATATGTGCCAAATGTGAGGTGATGTTTTAGTAAAACTGTGTACACAAGGATTAAGCTTTAAAACTCTACACAACTTGCATGCAACAGACAGTACAACCTGCTATAATTGTGGCTCTTGTGATCCTGTTCAAACCTAATCTTCAGAGTCGGATCATTTGCAAATTGAATACATAATTACCCTCTGTTAACATGTCTCCTCCTCTCTTAAATGTTTATGCAGTGAGGGGAGAGGTACACCTCCTCATTGCACAAATGACAAGCTGCAACTCTAGCCTGCTGCCTCTGTGTGGTGCACTATGTGTTTGGGGCAGTATGCGTCACATCAGATCCTGAAAAACAGCAGCAAAAGCTTCAGTAAATGTGTCTGACAAAATCACGAGGAAAGCATAATGATATACACAATTCAGTTTTACTAGATTAAAGTGTGATGGTTATTTAGAAAGAGGATAGAAAATTCTTCTAAACATGTGAACACCTTAACTATACTAATAAATATTTTTACGCAGTGGATCAAACGTTTAATTGGAAAGTAATCTGTCGTAGTGATGAACCAACTGATCTCTAACTCTAGTTTCCCTAACAGTGTTAAACTTAACATCTGGCCCAATAGGGACAATGAAGTCATTATGTAGGTATGTTCAGGTATTGTTGATGGTATTTTGGAGTTTGTCATTTCTGAATTGACTGATTTGATTTAATTAATTGACTTTGTAGTCCCCAGTATGGGTCATGCTCCAGATAAACACCCACATCTGCACCTTCAGTTCTTAACTATGATTTTTCATCAATTCCTGAGAAGTACTTCTCAAGATGAGTAAACAGATTGTCCTGTGTCTAATAGGCGGAGTGTCCCTTTAAAATATATGTTGGTGCAGCGTTGCCTAACTATTCAGCTCTTGTGTCTGACCTTACAGTCGAGGACAGCCTCCTGTATAGAGCAGCACTGGTGCTCTTTGTGCTCCTCTGTCTGACACTGCTGGCACACTGGCTCCTCCTCTTCCAGACAGAACACACTGAGCATTTCTCCATGCTCCTCACACAGCTCCTCTTTCTCCACACCCCCGTATCCTCCGTCCTCTGCCGCCCTGACACTCTCCTCTGCGGCTCCAGGTGGGACCCCGCGTCTCCGAGGCTGGCCACGGAAAAGGGCTTCCAGCAGAGTGTGGAGGACCGAGTCCATCAGCTGTGATCCGTAGCAGATGGTGCAGCCGGCCTGGCCCAGCTCCCCCTGGCTCAGCTCAATACATGCAGGACACAGTTTGTGGCCACAAGGCAGCGTCAGTATGCCAAGTGACTGGCAGCCCGGACACTCTTCCTCAAGTTGGGTTGGAGGCTGCTGACCCTCAGTAGAATCTGGAGATTCCACAACAGTGACAGGGTCTCTATGTTGATCCCCAAGAGTTTTTGTATCTTGTCCCTGCTCTTCCTCTTCTTCATGATCGGCCTGACTGGCCCTCTCAGCCATGACAGTACTGCAGATGACTGGTTAATTTTAGTACAATGGCTGAATAACAGAGTGGGTTTCTGTCCCTGCAGGCCCACAGCAGCACCAGGACAGAGCTGCTCTCCGGTCCTCATGCAATCTGAGCTTAGCAACAGGTTGCAAAATCACTTGTGCTCTCTGTAACCGCAAGCTCCTCCCCCTCAGCTGCTGCACGCCCCCTCCCCTCAGAGAGGCAAAGTCACAAAATGACATGATAAAAATACTCCTGAACTGAAAACAAGAGGCATCACTCCAGGAGAGACTCTCAGAAGAATGGAAGAAATTACATGACAACGTTGAGTTCATAGAAGTGAATGGCAGATGAGCAGGGCTCTCTTTAACAGAAATACAGAACAGTCCAGCCATTGTAAACTACTTACAGTAGTGTGTATGTGTAGTACAGAACTAGTGTGTTTACCATGTAGAGGGTGTGGGCGGGGGGGTTCACGTCTGTTGTGTTTTCCACCTGAGCTACTTACAGGCTCCCAGACGGTACCTAGAATGAGATATGGAATAATTATGCACTGCAGGGATGAGGGGTGGAGGGGAGAAGAGAGGATGAAGGGATGTGGGTAGGGATGAGCAGAGGGAGGTATAGGGTAGGAAAGAGAGGAATGGGAGGGAAATGGAGGGGCAGTTGAGAAAACTGGTAAACAAGGTATAAGGAGCTTGCCAGGTGATTAGAGGTGTGGTTGAGGCGTGGCCCTTAGTTTATTAGTATTTATTCATTAAACTGCTGCTAGATCATAGTATTCATATTTATACTTGCTTTTTCTTCTGATATTTTAATGTACTACTTCTGTTTTCTTATAATTATCTTTGTTTAGCAACTTGTGCAACTGTAATGCAACCAATTAGGGATCAATAAAGTATTTCTAATTATTATAATTTTAAATGTATTCTCACAAGAATGGTGAGGATGTTTAAAATAGAAATAGACTATTGATATTTTATAGTCTCTCCTGAACTGCTGCATACAGTCTGATAGAACCTCACACTGTTCAGTATGTATCCTACAGCTTATATTCACACACCCTCACTGTACATCAGCTGCTCCCCCCTGTGTCCCTCTTTGCTTACCTGTGTGTAAGCAAAGAGGGACACACAGGAATAATAAGCAACTATTTTGATTAGAAATTGAAATGGTTTTTTTAAAATCTTTTTTTCATGGAGAATTAATGAGCTGACACAACACAAACAGATTTTTTTTCATTTGGAAAAACACTACAATACTGAGCAGAAGACTCTGCAGTCAGTGTTTGTGTGACTAGTGTGGAAAATAAAAAAGTTTGTGATTATTATTCTCTTTTAGAAAAATGGAAGTGAAAAGATCTACCGATACTGCAGAAGCTTCATTTTATGTTCTGTTTGTGTGCCACATTTAGATGGCTGATGATTGTTTTAGAACATGAAAGCAAATTAAACCAGCGTGATCTTGAGGGAAATCGCATGCCACAGGGCATTTCACGTGTATGTCCACAAACTTAAAGCTCTTTGCTTTTACAGATACTGCAATTTATGAGTTTTGGACGAGCAGAAAAGGACAAAGTTAAGTTATTTGAGTTCTTTAAAATGTTATTTGTTATTTTTATCTGCACAATTATTATTTTTTTCAGATTTTTTTTCAGTATTTTTAAATACATGGAAATAAGAATATAACTACAAAAACAGCCAGTGAATTTACATGTCTAACATAAAATAACATGAAAAATATATAACTCTAAATGATCATAAAATTACTGCTTATTTTAAGAAAAAACATTTTCACAGATATTTACTGTTTATTTAAATGATTAAACTGTCAAATTCAAGTTTAATACTGTTAAAACATTTCTATGTAAAATAAGTGACTATTATTGTATTTGTTCCTTTATTTTATTTTATTTTTTGTTAACTGACAGATACATTTTATAATTTTTATGCTATGTTTTCAAAATAAAAAACATTGAATAAATGTTTTTTTATCAGTGTATAAGCATAAGTAAACTGAACAAATGCAGTTTTTATGACTGAAAACAGTAATCATTACTGTAATTTCTCAGACTGTGACTTTAATTACAGTTCTTTGACTTGATTATTTGTATTATAGCAGTGTTAGCCTGTATGTAAAGGTAATTTAGTTGTTCTCACATGTGTAAATATTTTTAAACATTACACAAGATTTAATATGTAAATTTAAAGCTAAAACTGTATTTTGATTCAAGAAAATTACTGTATTGTTATGATTCAGTTATTTTACTGGTTACTGTTATTTTTTATACATCCGTATAGAATACATGTTTCGCATTCTATTCTATCTTATGTGTGTCAGAATGACAACATGATGATGGAATAGACTCAATAGAATGTCTTAGGTATAAAAGAACAGAGATAGTCAGACTTCAGTCAGTCAGATCATCATTGGAGACATTTCAACCCTGTTTGTTGGCTTGTTAACTTGAAAACCTTTTCTGAAACCCTTTTATTGACACAGTTATTACACACTGAATTTCAACACAAAGCATCACTGACATCAGTCTGGTAAGTTGATTGAATTCTCACGTTACGGCAGAGAAAACTCTTCTTGAAGTCAAGTTTTCATGTACATCTGGTTGCAATGCTGATATAAAACTACTTCACAACTGAAGTTGTTGGCATTGGCAGGTTGTTTATAGAAGGCATGATACTGATACACAGATATATTAGTGATACGACGAACAGATACAACTAACTGAGAGATTAGTTGTATCCTGTCTCTCGACCGAAATATTGGTGTAAAGGTTGTCATCTGTATTAAACAAATAATATATTAATTATTATAATTTCATGTCAGTTTTTTTGTAATTTTAAGACTTTATTTTAACAACAGCATAGGTTTATTTACACTTAACATGTATATTTCTTTAAGGAGCAGTAGAAATATGCAATATAGGTCGTGAGAGGCAAGACATAACTGTTTAAATTCCTTCTTTTCTACTTCCAGGGCAAGAAAATAATATCAGATTTCATCTGCTTGCACCATGACTGAGAACCAGTATTTCCAGGTCGTCAAAAGAGGCCGGATCTCTTCTGCATCTTCTGACTACGAGGTGCAAGAGCTCCTGGGGAGTGGCACCTTTGGAGAGGTCACTCAGTGCTGGAAGTTAGCCACCAACGAAACTGTGGCTGTTAAAATCATCAAATCCCTGGCGTTCATTCACGAGGCAAAGGAAGAGGTGCGACACAAATTACGTTTATCGACATTTCCCTTGTGTGATAATTCAAAAGCACACTGCATTCACACCAGATCTCTTTTTAATATCTCGTACATTCAGGAGGAAATCCTAAAAATGATGAAAGAGCTCAACTCTGAAAAATTCAACATCGTCAGATGGAACGACTCTTTCACCTTCAAGGGACGTTTTTGTCTTGAGTTCGAGAAGCTCGACATCAGTCTCTTTGACTTCCTGAAGAGGAGCCAGTCTCAGTCTCTTCAGCTGGCAGAGATCCGCCCCATAATGCAACAGGTATGTTTCTTCAGTACAAAAGTTGTAACACACAGTACACCCATTGTCTCTTGTTTTAGCTCCGACAATGCGATTTTTCTCTTAAATGCATATATAACTGCAAGTATATAAAATGACAAAGAAGAATAGATTTCTGCAGTATGTTAAGCCAAATAATGTCCATAAAGGCTTGAGATTGTGGATACCTTTACCTTCAGTTTGGTCAAATTAAGATAAAGTGTGTCTTCTATCACTGTGGCTACAAATGTTGGTCCATCTCAAAACCATCTAAGGGAAATAGCTGGTCACATGTTCAATTTAAATTGGCTTTGAATGATTGTAATTATTGTTCTCTTTCTGGAAGAACCAGAACTGATTTTTACTGTAATTGATGTTTTCAGTTGGCTACAGCTCTGAACTTTCTGAAGAGCGCAGGGATTGTCCATGCAGATCTAAAGCCAGATAACATTATGATGGTGGATCACTTAAGGCAGCCATTGGCAGTGAAAGTCATCGACTTTGGCTTGGCCTGTAACAATCCTGAAGCATGGACGGGTAGCACTGTTCAGACCTTGTGGTACAGGTGAGTAGATATGATGCAGGTGTCTGACAGCACATCTGTATATGTGGAACAGCTGTGTCAGAAAGGATATCCAATGAAAAATTAAGTTTTTAGTCAAGCTTACGTCTGATCAAAACGTTGTATGTTCATATTTATATTGTCAGGGCTCTAGAGATCCTGCTGGGGCGTCCCTTCAACAACGCCATCGATGTATGGTCTCTAGGCTGCATTGCAGCTGAAATGTTGATGGGCATTGTGCTGTTCCCTGGCTGTGACGAATATGATATGGTAAGTATAACATTTTAACAGTGTTGCACTTAAAACACCAGACATCAATGTCAACTTCAGCCATAATGTATTCCTTTTATACCCACAAACACAATAACTAGAGATAAGCCGTATTCCACTGCATTGTCACTCATGTTTAGCATTTTTCTTAAAATAACAAAGTTTCAATTAATTAAATTCAATGGAATTTAAGATGAAAATGTTTTCAAAACAGTTTTCACAATGGTTTCATAACTTTTGGAGAAATTCTCTTGTGAAAGCTTAAAAATGGACTTTGAAGTATAACGCAGCATTGTGTTGTCCCCACAGATGAGGCATATCGTACTAACTGTTGGTAGACCTCCAGACCACCTGCTGACTGATGCACTGCATAGAGCACAGTTTTTTAGGGCAGAAAATGCTGAATTGGATCCCCCCCAGTGGGGATTTATGGTAACATCATCTAGCTGTGTTTGTATAAAATATCATTGTTTCTTTGCTTTAGACTGTCTCTGCAATTGGAACAAATGAGCTAACTCAAACATCTATTCTTTAGTCACAACGTGAAGCAGGGAAATTCTTTTGTCACAAGCGCACGGTCAGCTGCCTGAACGGCGTCCTGTACAGGAGGCCTCATCAACTGTCAAGAGAAGATGCCTGTGCAGATGGGGCGTGCTTTGTGGAGCTGCTGTCTAAGATGCTGAAGATGGATGCCTCTGAAAGAATCACACCAAGCCAGATTCTTCAGCATCCATTTGTGACAATGTGCCACCTTGTTGACAACAGCTCCTAGTAAGTGTGTGCCTACATGCTGTGTGTATTATCTCTGTGCTGATATAGATGGTTGAAGGTGTTTGACTCAGTGATTGGCTGTCTTCCAGTGCAAAAAGAGCAAGG